GGAGCGCCTGCGTTTCCAGGTGAGGCCCGAGGCGGCCGCGGAACCGGCCAGGAGCGCAGGGCCCCGGGTGTGTCCGCCGGGTTCCCGTCCCTACGCTCGCCCGGAGGCCGCCCGGGACATGTAGAGGCGCTGGGCACGTTTGCGTGCCTTTCCGCTGCGGCTGACAGTGGCACATGTCATCTTTCTCTAACAGTAGCATTAAGTCTGTTGTTGACGGAGACTGTAAAATATCAGCGCCACAGGTTGGCGAGGGAGAGATGATGCACTTTTAACATTCTGAGCGTATTTGCTGTCTAAAACCCCAGTCGTGGACACGTAGTCCAGTGTCGACTGTACGTTCGGGTGGCATAGGATGGGTATGCAGCAGAACATCAGTGAACTTGCTGGCGGGGGAGGGGAGTCGATTCCCAAGGATCCCACTTACATTTCTGAATTTAATTGTCAAAGCAGTAGTAGACTTCTGGGGTGCTGGTCAGCCCGCCCCTGATTCCTGCCCAAATTTCCAGAGCTGCTACTGGAATCTAGAGCTTCTATAGTGCCTCTCAGGATCTTTCCTTGCTCCTAAACACCCTTACTCAGAAACATAACACTGCGGAAGCGTTTGGACTGTGGAGGGCTGGTTCACACTAGCTGAACCCTAACGGGCTGGAGTACACTGACTGTAAGTGGTGCCCCCAGGAAAGTAGAAAGGCGTAACAGGTACCTAGGGGCCCAAAGGAGTCCTCTGATGTCTCTTCTACAGCCATCCCGGGGCTGTTTGGGTGTGGGGTGGCGGGAAGGAGAGGAGTGAATCAAGTTAGCCACAACTGATCTTAATTCTTAACCTTCCTGGACTTCAGTTCGCTCACCTGTGAAATGGCTGAGTGCTCTCCAGAGTTTCTTCTAAAGTCCTAATTCTCAAAACTTATGACTGGTTTCTCACTGGCAGGAAAGCTTAAGAACAAAGCAATACTACCTCATGTTAAGCATGAGTCGTGGCTTATCTTAGATTTCTAGTACTACCGTTTGGTGGAAATTTAACTGGCAGCATAGAGAAGTTAATGTTGGGTGAACACCTTAAAATACTTGAAGAAGCAGAGTGTTGTTCCTCTTCAGCTTAACCACTTCCATGTGTATATGTTCTAGGGTCAAACTATCCTACAGACCAAAGGTCTCTAAAGACTCAAAGTTCAGAGAACTCTGGATGTTTGGCCTTTCCTTTGCCTGTCTGAGGGAAAACAATAATTGTCAATTTGCTTTATGAACCAAGTTAATCTACGTGTAAACTTTTTTGGGCCCATGCTTGCTTAAGTGCTTAATTAAGCCATTGGCTCACCTAATTACCTTGTGGAAACTAATTTGAACCTGACCCTATTTTCCTACATGATCTGGAATGAGGTTGCCAATTTTAAATAAATCCTTCCCAGCTTCTGAAATGAAGGATGATAATTCAGATGTCATGTTGGTTAAACTCTGGTATCCTTTTGTTCAGTTCTTGGAGCAGAAATATGGCTATTATCACTGCAAGGAGTGCAACATCCGATGGGAAAGTGCCTATGTGTGGTGTGTACAAGGCACGAACAAGGTAAGAACTACCATGTGACTGGCATCTGACAGAAATGTCAAGAGGGTTTTGCTTGAAGTTTTTCCTCTCATCACAGGTTTATTTCAAGCAGTTTTGCAGAACTTGTCAGAAGTCTTACAATCCTTACCGAGTGGAGGATATCACCTGTCAAGTAAGTCCAATGTTTGCGTTTTGTGTCTGAACGGGGTGGTGGTAGAGGGCATCAGTGTGGTTTTTTGGACGTGTTTCCTAAAAGAGGCTGGGTTCCCAGTGACCTTCAGGTGTTGACAGCTTTTTGTAGGTGTTTAGAAATAACACTCAACGATAATACTCAACTGAGAAACAGGGTTTTGATGTCAGTTTCCTTCTGCCCTTGCAAATGTTGGTCATGTTAGCGTTCTTTAAAGACTTACCTCACTTGTAATGTGGAAGAATGCCTTACTTGCTGCTCAGTGTAATGTAAGAGAAAGCAAACTGAAAAATAGAATACCGTTCTAGCATGAGGTGGTAAAGGTGCTTATTTTGCCTGAACTATTTTTATGAAGCATATGCCCAAGTTAGAGTACTTAGCATAAGCACAGGATTTTAAAGTTCATTCTTGTCTGAGCTCTCAAAAGGAGAATTTGTCTTAAAGATGCCCAGATTTATGCAGTTAAATAGTAACGTTGCTTGTTTATTAACTAAGCACTGTACTATGCTGAGGGGCTTAGATAGTATGAGGAAAGAAGTGACTAAACTTGCTAGTTATCCCACAGCTAGTGGAGCCTGACCTACCGGATGAGACAGCCTAATGCACTGGACTGGAGTTGGACGCTGAAAACATTATCACCGTAGGTTGGGTGGAGAGAAAAACCAAGTGTGGAAAGTGTTTAGATTCACTTAGATCAAGGCAGAGCAGGCTAAGGTTCTAAAGTAGGAAGTCTTAATCACTGTTTTTGACTCAGCAGTTGTTTTCCCTTCTGCCCCAGCTTGAGGTCATTTGCAGCAGGTTGGGGTCGGGGACAAGGTCAGCCAGCCACTGGATGCCAGGCCTGGCCCTCAGCTTGCTCCTAGTCACCAGCCTCACACAATAGCTTTCCTTGTTTTGCAGTGCTTTTAAGTTCTTCCTCGTTTTTCTCCACTCTTCAAGTGCAGGAAGACTCCCTGTAAGAACATCTTATTTCAAAAGAAATGTCCCAGTTCTGAACTAATCTTATGCAACATGGGCCCACAGCAAATGGTTAATCACCCTCTACTAACCCTATCTTTCCTAGAAGGGATAGACAAGATTAGCACAGGGCTTTGCTTAGAGTGCATTCAGTAATTATTTGAATGAACTAGAAGATACAGGAAATCACCAAGGGTTTATCTTTATGTGTGTCTCACTTTGATTTTTCAGAGTTGTAAACAGACTAGATGCTCCTGCTCAGTAAAACTTCGCCACGTTGACCCTAAAAGGCCCCACCGTCAAGATTTGTGTGGGAGATGCAAAGGCAAACGCCTATCCTGTGACAGCACTTTCAGCTTCAAATATATTATTTAAACAAATGTAAACAATTCGTCCTGAATGTGGCTAGTGGAGCAGACAAGTGAGCTTTTCTTCCATGCCCCTTCTCTCTGCCTTTCCCTTCTCAAAGTACTTCAGGAAAGGCTGTATTTTTGACAAAGCCTTTAAATAAAAGTATTGCAAAACAATTGATAGATTGCATACAATCTTACGTTTTTTTTAAAAAAAAGATTTAGGAGAGCTCGTCCAGTGCTAACAGTCTGGGCCTGTCACTTTGCCTTTATTAATA